GTGTGTGTGTGTGTGTGTGTGTGTGTGTGTGTGTAGGTGCCTGCACAAAGGCACACACAGAAGCCAAAAGAGGGCATCAAATGCCTCAGAGGTGGGGTTACAGGTGGCTGTGAGGTGCCTGACATGGATGCTGGACCTGAACTCAGGTCCTCTGGAAGAACAGCAAGCTCCCCTAACCATAGAGCCATCTCTGTAGCTCTGGGACGTTTAGGAAACAGCTTATTTGGGTCAGTTTTCCATGAGGATGCTCTAGGGGCCAGACAAAGGGGTGTACTTAGGAGCCCCTCTCATCAAACCTCTAAGCTCAAGTCTGTGGTCCCCAATGACCAACAGCCCTCCAGTCATACTTGCCCTGATGGGCCCCATGCCAAGGAGGAGCTTCCATTTGGGTTGACATCATTGTGGGTACAAGGCTGACCTCTGGTGGTCCCTACCTCTACTAACTGGCTCAGATCACTGACCCGAAAGAGAAGGAAAGTCTGTTGGGAGAAAGTGAATCAGACAAGACTGCCTTGTGGGAGCTCAGACTGTAAGTCAGACAGTTACACAATAGGGTGACAAGTGCAGGGGACAAGGAGGAGTGCAGGGACAAGATGTCAGAGCCATGAGAGGAAAGGAAGAGCGTATCAAGCACCCGGCTCATCCCGAGCTCTCTTCTGCCCTCGGGTGTTCCCTGGGAGCTGCACCCACAAGGCACCGGCTCACCCGGAGCTCCCCCCCCCCCCCCCGATGCTGCCAAGCATGTTAAAGAGCTAGGCAGAGCTAACACAACCTCGCTCTGCCCATGGCAAGGCCCAGCGAGAGTGGGACACAAGACCTTGGTGGACGGGAAAGGTGACAAGGCCACTCACTGGGAAGGGGCAGGCCTTTCTGGGAGAGGGAAGGCCAGAGCCTGTAAGAAGCACAGAGATGGAGAGCTGTTCCCACAGGAGCAGGAGGCTGGGGAGGTAGGCAGTCGGGGCTTGGAGCACTCTGTCCAGCACCCTAAGGAAGCCATGCCCAGAGGAGGAAGCCCTGGCAGCCTTAAAGGGATAGGCTCATATTAAACTTCTAAAGGCCACTCAGTTTCCACGTGGACAATGGACTTGGGGCAGATCGTGTAGGACACTGCGGTCCTGCCACCAAGACACTAGCCTGAACAGGGTGTAGTGCACCCTGACCAGCCAGGAAGCAGGGTAAGACTGGTATGAGAGTCAAACGTACCCCTTTTGTTTGGGGTAACGAGGTGTGTGTGGCAGGCGAGGGGGCAGCAGCTACTGCAAAAGGGAGCCTTGAAGCTGGGGAAATAACTCAGCTCATAGAGTATTTGTTGGCATGCATGAGACGCTGGGTTTGGGTCTCAGGACCACGTATAATCAGGCATGGTGGCACACACCTGTAATCTAAGCACTCTAGAGGTGGAGGCTGGAGGACCGTAAGTTCACGGCCATCTTTGGCCATATAGCAAGTCTGAGGCCATCTTAGACTACATGAGAACCTGTGTGGGGGAAAAACAAACAGGGAAGCTTGTTGGAGGAGCAGGCTTAGGAACAAGGGGAAGGTAATCAGTTTGTGTATTCATTCATTCGACCTTTTATTAAGTGCTTCACTGTGTGCTGGGAATTGTGCTAGGTGCTGGGGATACAGCAGGGACCGGGACAAAAATTGTATCATCCTAACTGATGGAGGAAGGAGACCATAAGCAAAATACACACAATACAGCCATCCCTCGCTAACCACAGGAAACTGGTTCCAGGACCCCAGTGGACAGACGCACACGTTTCTCTTCTGTCAAATGTTGCTATCTGCATCTAGACTGACACATCCTCCCAGGCAGTTTACAGCTGGCCAGTGACAGGCACTGTGAGAACTCTCTCTGCCTGTGGGGACCAGGCACTTCTCAACCAGGAGGCCTCCTAGTCAGAGCTCACAGGCAGCCCTGACCTATGATGGAATTCACACTCCAGGGGAGAGAAACCGGCTTCACTGAGCCACTGTGGCAAGCATTGTGCTCCATGTCCTGAATTCATTAAGCCACAGACATCAGAGCAATGTGATTTCCCTTAATTAATTAAAATATCACATAATACGCACTCTGATTTACCGTTCATGAGGTCCCAGTGAAGGCTGAGAATGAGGAAACTCATTAGAGGAGACTGCTCCCCACTGGATGACTTTGATCGTCTGGCCTACATCCTCAATCTTGGGGGACAGGAGGGCAACATTTTCTAAAGATGGGAATTAATTTCATCGCAAAAGCTGTTGGAAAAATATCCATTGTACTAAAATCCAGCGCTTTGGTGGTTTAGGATAAAAAATGAACACCTTTGGGGCTAAGTAGAGGCATTAGAATTACTGTGGTACCCCCTTCCCTGTGGACAATACCAAGGCTGTGCTTTGTCTGTATGTGTACAGGCTTGTGCAGATGAATATGTGTATCCAGGCACATGGTATGCAGGTCACACGTGAGTGTGTGTGCCTGTGGCAGGCAGAGGACCTCAGATGTCATTCTTCAGAACTGACCTTATTTTTTTTAGACAGGGTCTCTCGTTGGCTGGCAGTTTGCTGATTAGGCTTAGCTGTCTAGACAGTGAGCCCCAGGGATCTATCCACCCTGACCTCCCCAGTTCTGGGATTACAGGCTTGTACCACCATGGCCAGCTTCGTAATGCGGGTCCTGGGGATCAAACGCAGGCCCACACACTTGTGCAACAAGCATGTTCATCTCCCAGTTCATTTATGCTGCTTCCCCCATACATGCCTATGATAAGTTGCTTATGGAATAAGCATTAACAATAATAATAAAAACAAGTTTGTAATATGTTATGATTAAGATTATGTGGATACTATCTCTTTTTAAATTTCTTTGGGGCAGCTGGTGGGAACCCTCAGGAAACTCACACGCAGCTGGTGGGAACCTGGCACACATTCTACTCTCCCGCCTAATGACTTGCACCTTCTGGTACCTGACTCCCTTCCTCACTCGGTCTGTGGGAGATGAGAGAGTACAGATCAGGGAGTGAATGAATTACTAAAATGCATGAAAATACAAGTTCAGGAGATTCAGAAGGATCAAACTGGGGATGGTGGATGGTTTAAAAACTATAAGTAGGGGGCTGGAGAGATGGTTCAGTGGTTAAGAGCACTTACCCTTACAGAGGACCAGGGTTCAGTTCCCAGCACCCACATGGCTCACAGCTATCTGTAATTCCAACTTCAGAGGAACGGATGCCCTCTTCTGGTCTCTGTGAGTACTGCATTCAGGTAGTGCTCAGACATAAATGCAAGCAAAATATCCATACATATTCAAAACAAAACAAAAACCCCTTCAAGTAGAGGGCTAGGTGTGGTAGGGCACACTTGGAGGCAGAAGCAGGCAGATCTCTGTCAGTTGGGGCCAACCTGGTCCACATATGGAGTTCCAGGCCTGCCTAAACCACACAGTGAAACCTTGTCTCTAAGCAACAATAAAACAAAACAAAAACTGAAAATAGGGACCAGACAAGGAGACAACCACAGCCCAGGTGGGAGAGGTGAGGAGGGTCAGGTAGAAGTAGCCAAAGTAAGCAGAAAACAGGCAAGACGCACGCAGGGTGACAAGGATGAACGGATGGGACCTGACCCAGCATCGGAAGCAGCGTTCCCGGGGGAGAGAGCAAGCGGCCCACCCCTAAAGACATTTGTTATCAGGGTGCAGGGCTGCAGCATCATGGAATCTATACACACAGGGATGGGTGTGTAGGTGGGTATAACTGTGCCTCCAAATGGTGACAGTCGTGGCGCGTGTTCGGCTCTCAGAAGGGGTCCTTGAAGCTCCTAGAGTGAAAAGCCACTGTACAGGGAGAGTACCCATAGCTCTGCTGAGACAATCCAGTTCTAACAAGAACTCCCAAACACAATGCCTGCCAGGAGCAGCCAGAGTGTGAGCGGAAGCTGAGGTGAGCCTAGGGCCCCATGGGTGTGGCAGTATCTCCTCTCCCTGGTTTAAGGTCATCCTGGGGAAAGGGAGCTGGGGGAAGCAGCTGTGAGTTCTGTCCTGCTCTGTCTGTCACCTGCCGGCTGTATGAGGCAGGGTGGCAGAAATCCCTGCTCTTCCCGCTGTAGCTGGGCTCACGTGTGGGACAGTGTTGTGTGAACTTTCAGGCCCGTCCACAGTGAGGGACCCCAACCCTGATGGTAAGACACTGCAGGCAGCAGGGCACATTCCTTTAGTCCCAGCACTCAAGAGGCAGAGGCAGGTGGATCTCTGTGAGTTTGAGGCCAGCCTGGTCTACAGAATGAGTTCCAGAACAGCCAGGGCTACAGTGAAAGCCAGTGTCAAAAATTTAAAAATAAACAAAAAATAGGAAGAGAGAAAGAGAGGGAGAGGGAGAGAGAGGGAGGGAGGGAGAGGGAGGGAGGGAGGGAGGGGGAGAGGGAGAGAGAGGGGGAGAGAAAGAGGGAGAGGGAGAGAGAGAGAGGGAGAGGGAGAGAGAGGGAAAGGGAGAGAGGGAGAGAGACAGAGAGAGCAGTCACCTAGAACCTGCAGACAGAGAACAGATATCCCCTTTTTTCTTTTCCTCGTCATTAAGCAGGTAAGGACAAATGCACTGTACTGCAGTGTGATTCCGCCACCTACAGATGACACCCGGTTTCCTCTCTTCCATGTGACTAGCAGAAGCCAGGTATGTACTGTCTGTCTGCTGGGGGAATGCTGGGTTAACAAGCGCACAGCTTGGTCCAGCAGCTCCTAGTTCCAGCAGAGGGTCCTGTCTAGTGCTAAATCTCCTCACAGCGGGGAGAAGGAGCAGAGGAGCCAGCCGAACTGTCCATGCCAGGAGTTAGGTGATGACTTCAAAAAAGAATGTCAGGACCACAGTTCCCGGGCTGACGTCACTCTAGGAGGGTGGGGCTACAGGGAGCATTCGGTGGAAACCACAACCCAGAGGAGGAAAACACCCATCCCAGTCACGAGGGAAAGGGGCAGAGGGACCCCCCCCCCCCCGCTCTCCATGACACAGTCACAGACACCACATCATGAGTCGGGTGGCACGTGCCTTGTTTTGAGCCCTTTAAAATTACAAACACACAGTATGCAACCCATCCTGGGACAGAGGAGTTAAAAAAGAACTGTTCTAGAACGATTCATTCCAAAAATATAAAAAAGTTACATGCATGTCTGTCTCCCCAAGGTCTGCCCTGCTAAAAACTACATCTGGTAAGAATCTAGTTTGCATTCCCTTTTTAAAAAAACATACAAAAAGGAGTCCTCTGCAGGCAGTTTCCCCAGACTCCACACCGGTCCACTCCATGGCGTGGCCATCATGTTGTGAGGGGTGTCTCCAGAAGCCTGGGAAGGAGAGGGGAAGGGGACATTAGAGGCAGAAGCTTGCTCCTCTGTAATGACTGCGTGTGTTAAATTAGAGGTGGAGCCTGTGATGCTGGGGTCCAAGTCCCTCCTCAGTGAGGGATGAAGCCAGGGCTGATGGGGACAGGCAGTCCTGGGGCAGTGAGAATAGTCAAGACCGAAGGCCAGATATTCCAAGGAAGCAGACTCCGGTTTACAGGAAAGGGCGTCTCAAGCCCTAAAAAGCCCCAGTATGGCTGTATAGTGAGCATTCGGTCCCGGGGGCACACAATGAGAGCTGGCCAATAGTGCATGTTACAGAGCGAGCTCAAGACAGGGATGCAAACCACATCATCCCAGACGACATAAAACGATACATTATATATTATGCATAACAAAACTTTGAGTATTAGGAAGAAAACTTAAAGGATCTGATTTCCCAGCTTTGCTGGGGTCCTGTGGTTTTACATTTTCATGCTCTTTTTCTCTCTATTCCTAGGACCTCTGGTGACAACAGATACTGTCCTTCAACCTCAGTGTCTCTCCCCAGTGACACCTTCCCTTCCGTCTCTCCAGTGTAAGGGCGCTCCTGCCGCGTACCCGCTGCACTCTGAACGCTGCTGATGTGTGTCATTTCCCCATACACGCTCTACAGACCTGAGGGACGGCAGTCCAACGTAAGCAGTCACAAGGATCAAGGGATGAGAACCACAGCAAAATCCTCTGCTTTTAATGTCTGTCACGGACGACTCAGCAGCTACAAGCACTGGCTGCTCTTGCAGAGGACCCGGGTTCAGTTCCCAGCACCCACATGGCAGCTCACAACCGTCTGTAACCCCAGTTCCAGGGGATCCAATGCCGTCTTTTGGTCTCCACAGGTATTAGGCATGCCCGTAGCACATACACATACATGCAGGCAAATACTCATGCACAAAACAAATTTTAAAAAGAAAAGGAAGTCATTTATACCTGTTCCTAATTTTTCCTGCTCTATTAGACCTTGCTGGTCAGTCTTGACAGTGATATCTGTTTATGATGGTAACTGCCATACCTGTGAGAGGATCATGCTGCCCTTTGGCTCTGGAGAGTGGAGCGTATGTGTGTGAGTGTGTGTGAGTGTGTGTGAGAGTGTGTGAGTGAGTGTGTATGTGTGTGAGTGTGTGTGAGTGAGTGTGTGAGTGAGTGTGTGAGTGAGTGTGTGTTTGTGAGTGTGTGTGAGTGTGTGTGAGTGTGTGTGAGTGGAGTGTGTGAGAGTGTGTGAGTGAGTGTGTATGTGTGTGAGTGTGTGTGAGAGTGTGAGTGTGTGTATGAATGTGTGTGAGTGTGTGTGAGTGAAGTGTGAGTGGAGTGTGTGTGAGAGCGTGTGAGTGTGTGAGTGAGTGTGTATATGTGTGAGAGTGTGTGTGAGAGTGTATGTATGGATGTGTGTGTGAGTGGAGTGTGAGTGGAGTGTGTGTGAGAGTGAGTGTGAGTGAGTGTGTGTGAGTGAGTGTGTGTTTGTGAGTGTGTGAATGTGTGTGAGTGTGTGTGAGTGTGTGTGAGAGTGTGAGTGAGTGTGTATGTGTGTGAGTGTGTGTGAGAGTGTGAGTGTGTGTATGAATGTGTGTGAGTGTGTGTGAGTGAAGTGTGAGTGGAGTGTGTGTGAGAGCGTGTGAGTGTGTGAGTGAGTGTGTATATGTGTGAGAGTGTGTGTGAGAGTGTATGTATGGATGTGTGTGTGAGTGGAGTGTGAGTGGAGTGTGTGTGAGAGTGAGTGTGAGTGAGTGTGTGAGTGAGTGTGTGTTTGTGAGTGTGTGTGAGTGTGTGAGTGTGTGTGAGTGGAGTGTGTGTGAGTGTGTGAGTGGAGTGTGTGTGAGAGTGAGTGTGAGTGAGTGTGTGAGTGTGTGTGAGTGTGTGTGTGAGCGTGTGAGTGTGTGAGTGGAGTGTGTGTGAGTGTGTGAGTGTGTGAGTGGAGTGTGTGTGAGTGTGTGAGTGAGTGTGTGTGAGTGAGTGTGTGTGTGTGAGTGTGTGTGTGTGTCCCACTTCATCCACCTAGCACAGCTATGTGACTTGCTATGGCCAATGATCCATCAGCAAACGTGACATCACTTTTGAGCAGAAACTTGAATGAGGCTGCACTTGGCTCCGGCTCGTCCTATCTGCCATAAGAATGGACATGACCCACCCTGGGCCTGCTGCTCCACCCTGGCTTGATTGAGGAGTCAGTGGGGCAGAGTCACGGTCACCTTGCAGCAGTCATGTCTCTTATGCTACAGGGAGGGAGCTAGGACTGACTTGGGATGTGAACCGTGGTCCTCACAGGAGGTTGGCTGGAACTGGGGAGCGGAGGCTTTTGTATCTGCTCACATCGAGGACTGTCACCGTGCTGTGGGACTGGGCCTCTCCAATGGCATTGGCGGCATGGCAGTGGTACACTCCCTCATCTTCCTTCCTCAGAGGGTTGATCTAGAAATACAACAGACAAGTTTATACGATTGCACACTGCACACTTCATACTCAAAACTGACAACCTTGTTCAGCATTCTTTCTTTTCACGCGGGCTCTCAGACTCTCTATGTAGCTGAGGATGACCCTGAACTCCTGATCTTGTGGTTTTCACTTCCAGAGTGATAGGATGAGAGGCCTGTGCCACCACGCATGGTTTCTGTGGCCCTGATAATCCAACACAGGGCTTCCTGTTTGGTAAGCACTCCACCAACTGAGCCACACCCCAGCCTGTTGCTTTTCAGAATCTGACAGGCCTCTTGGTTTCTTCTCTTCCATGGAGGCTGGCATGCAGCAACACTGTCTTCTCAGGGACCCCCTTGAAGGGCCTGCTCCCTGCTGTGGCTCTTACTTTAGTGGCTTCTCACTAAAGGTGGCAAAGGCTGATTTTGAGGAAAAGGCATGAATCTTAAAGGACAAACATCTACCCACCAGAGAAGACTGCCAAGTGTTCTTTAAGGGGCAGCCTTTACAAGATACCCCCAAGGGACCTTGTTCTCAACTCTTCGCACCCACAGACAAGAGGGAATATGCTTGATTGGAAAAGGCTACACACACACTCAACTGCATTCCAAGTCCCTGGATGAAGCGTTGTCAAACTGCCCAGAGCTGGTGGAGGTGAGGCAGATATCCCCCGAGAGCACATCCACACCTGCTCTCATCTCCTTTGGCTTCTCCTGTAGTAACAGCCCCATCCACTGCACACCACCACACGCTGTGGTGCAGTCAGGCACAATGGTATCATTGGACTCACACCAATCAGGGTGTTGTGTATCAGCTTCCTCAGAGGCTGACACATTCCATCCTGCAGGAAGCTCCTTAAGCAGGAGGGTAAGCAACTCAAAAGAGCTTCAGGAAGTCCCTGAAACTGAGCAGATTCACTAGGCCCCTCCCTGCCAGAGTAAGCAATAGAAACTGAGCCTCACAGTCAGATGGAAAGAAACTGAGCTGCAAAGAAAACCCTCAGACCAGACCAGCTGCCTGGGAGAAGCAGAAACCAGCTGGGATGCTCAGGAGAGGCCTAGGAAGGACACTACATCCTCTTGAGCTGCTTTCAGGCTGTGAGTGTGCGCACCAGGTTCCCAGCCTCCTGAGCTGTCACCCCTGCTGGGGTGGGCTTTGGTGCCTCAGCTGTCTCTGAGTCAGCCCCTGTAAGTAATCCTAATAAAACTCAATGGTTGACCATTGGTGGTATCCATCGTTTGGTCTGTCATGGGAATCCCTATCTGGGGTGTGTAGTGTGTGTGTGTTTGTGTGTGTGTGTGTGTGTGTGTGTGTGTGTGTGTGTGTGTGTGTAGCATCTCCCTAGGAAAAGCTTTGTCATACAGGAGGGGAAAAGCATGTGTGTCATCAGTCTCATTTTATCGGAGACTGACTCACAGGTACACCCCAGGAAACTAAGGCTAACAGAGCAACGGTGTCTGTCCAGTTTCAGCCTTAGCTCCTGTTCCCTCAATTTTTCAAACAAATGACATCCCTTTATCTTAGCAAAAACGTTGTAAGAACTGTTAAGCACGCCCTGTGGGAGAACCCCAACGTTCCAGTTCCCTCTCTACCTGTGGCCTTAGGCAGGTGCATTAGTTTCTTGTAGTTGCTTAGCAAATACTCTCAGCTTTAGCAGCTTAATACGACACCAACTTATCACCTTCAATGTGGGTCCAGCAGGCTCAAATTAGGGTCTGTCCGCATCCTTAAGCCTTGGGGTGGGGACAATGCGTTTTCTTGGTCAATTTCTAAGGGACAGCAGAATAGTTAGGTCCCGTCCTCCACCTTCAGTTCATTAATGGGGGGACACCTCTGTCACCCTGCCATGCCTCCTTCTCACACAGACTCGCCTGGGCAATCAGTTTCTTGAGACCCTAACAGCATGTGATTTACCTGTGAGTCTCCCTGGGCAATCTCTTCTTTTTTTTTTTTTTTTTTTTTTTTTTGGTTTTTCGAGACAAGGTTTCTCTGTATTGTTTTTTGGACCATGTCCTGGAACTCGCTCAGTAGACCAGGCTGGTCTTGAACTCACAGAGATCCGCCTACCTCTGCCTCCCCAGTGCTGGGATTAAAGGCATGTGCCACTACCGCCCGGCGGGCAATCTCTTCTTAAAGCCTTAACCTCCCCTTGTCACATAGGGCAGCACATCCACAGCTGGGCATTGGGACATCTTCTGGGGACACTGTAGCAGATCACTTAATGTGGCAGCTTGAATGTAACTGGCCCCCATAATCTCATAGGGAGTGGCACTATTAGGAGGTGTGGCTTTGTTGGAGTGGATATGGCCTTGTTGGAAGAAATGTGTCACTGTGGGGGTCAACTTTGAGGTTTCCTATGCTCAGGATACTGCCCAGTGTCTCACCCGACTTCCTGTTGCCTGCAAGATGTAGAACTCTCAGCTACTTCTCCAACACCATGTCTGCCATGCTCCCCCTCATGATGATAAGGGACTGAACCTCTGAACTAAGTGAGCCACCCCAATTAAATGTTACATTTATAAGAGTTACCGTGGTCATGGTGTCTCTTCACAGAAATAAAAATCCTACCTAAGATACTTATACTCTTGGGAGCTATCTAACCTACTCCAGAGGGTTCAGTGGGATACAGACAGGGGCATGCTGGATCTGGTGGTACACACCAGTTACTTTATGGGCTGGAGCACCAGGTTAAAGAATCTGAGGTCAGTCAGCCTGGGCAACTTAGTGAGACCTTGTCTAAAAATAAAAATTTAAATGTTTAAAATGACATTTATTTACTTATTTTGCATGTATGTGTGTATGCACACGCGTGTATGGAGATGAGAGGACAGCTTGCAGAAGCCAGTTCTCTCCATTCTCTGAAGATCTGGGTCCTGGGATTGAACTCAGGTCAAGTACTTTTACCCACTGATGCAAAGTGGGTAAAATGCAAAGTAAGGCCCTGGGTTCAATCCCCAGCAAAGCCAACAGAGGAGAATAGGGAACAGTTTTTAAAGTGTAATGTGTCATGAGAAGACAAAGGTTGGTAATTTTCAATTATCTGAAACACTCACCAAAATCCAGGATGTGGTCTCATGGTCAGAAGGACCCCCACGCACCTGGACAGCTATATTGACATGGTCTCCGGGCAACTCCTCCAACCCCTCAGTACCCTCAGGAGAACCCACGGCCTATAAGAGGCAGAGAATGCACACAGTTGAGAAAACCAATTCCGAGGCAGGCTGACCCCCCCTCCCCCAGGCCTCTGACCACCTGCATCCTCCCTGGGACGCCAAGGCAGAAATTCAAATACAAATAACTTATGCAAATAACTCAACCTTCTTTTAAATCTGTGTCTGTTCGGACAGCGCCGTCTGCTGGACAGTGAGGTTGTCAACTCTGCCAAAGGGAAAAGCTGTGAATTCCACAGCCCTTATCAGGGCTGTTGAGGAAAGGGGCCAATTAAGTTGTGCCCTTGGCCAGTCTCTTAGAATCGGCCTCAGTGCTCAGGACAGGACAGAGTCTCGGTCACCAGTCTGCTTATAGCTCTGTGTCACAACAAATCAGGTCCTAAGGACCCAGCAGCTGTCAGTATGTCCGCTAGCAGAGCTTTCTAGGCATCGAACGGACCAAATGAACAAATGGTATGGGAAGGAATTGAAGACGTCCTTTGGAGAGAGCTCTGGGGTAGCAGCATCGAGGCGGAGGGCTGGAGAACGCTTATCTAACCCTCTGACCCACAGACAAACACACCCAAGGAAACAGTTTATCACCACGGGTGCTTCTGCTTTGTTTCTGTCCTTGTCTCCCAGGTTCTCGAAGCACAAGTACACAGACAAATGCATACATGAACGCTTGGAGAAAATTACCTTCCTCCAGGTGATGACCGGGGTGGGCACAGCCTTTACTTCACACGAAAGGAACACTTGAGCCCCAGTGACATTGTGAACATCTCGAGGTGGCATGAGGACCACAGGAGCTGGAGAAGACAAAGAAACAGCTTTTTACCCTGGCAGGAGCCCGACCTCGGAGGTCTGCAGGAAGCCCAACGTTGAGGGGCAGTGGGTCCTCTGGGAACTGCAAGCCTGTCTCTGCTTTTCCCACCAGGAAAACAGAACTAAAAGGGGAAAGTGGTGTTCAGATTTTAGTGGTGGAGCTACGATCTCAGCACACTGTCTCTCTGAGTATCTGCAACACCTCAAGTTGCCATCTGCTTATTTCTTGCTGGCTACATAGCACCTGGCTGCCTCTGGAATCTGGCTCTAACTGTAAGTCACATAAGGGTCTGGTTTCACGAAAACTTTGCACACCCCCAGGAATGGAGAACTCACTCCCTGCAGAACGGCTCTGTGATCCAACTCATTCTCATAGGAGCGGCTTCCGTCTTCGGTCATCACCACCTGATGGTGCCAGGGCTGGAGCCCCTGTTGGCACGGCTCTCCAGTGAGTACCGACGGCCTGGCCCACGCCAGGCCGCCTACCCCTTCAATCAGCCACACCTTCAGTTCTGCTCACTTGACTGCCTTCCAAAGGGATGCTCAAACCCAAGTGTGCAGGCAGCGCTCTGGTGAAGAGAGCCTCCAACCTTCCAACATGCCCTGCAGCCCTGGACCCGCACAGGGCTTGTCTGGCAGAAGCCCCATCTGCTACAACAAAGAGGGGCTAATTTATTCACATCCAACTGCCAGCACCTCCTCACAGCCACACTGGTGCTTCCAGCCGCAAGCCCTCCCCACAAGCCTGGCCCCGAATGGCTGTGGGACAGTCATACTGCGCCTGATTCCAGGGCCGTCAATAGGTTCCAGAGGGACGCTGCGTCAACGTGTTTCACTTTCCTTCAAGTAAAGCCATAAATTTTAAATGAGACTTCATCACTCCCTTTCAGGCCTAAATGAATAAACCAGTAAATCACATTTCCTACGCGCTCCTCTCTCTCTCTCTCTCTCTCTCTCTCTCTCTCTCTCTCTCTCTCTCTCTCTCTCTCTCTCTCTCTCTCTCAATAACTACAATTAAGAGGCACTGTCTAGGGAAAGCTGCCTTTGCCACTGCTATCACCGCAGGAAATACCATTTCTTTTACAAAAGAGCCCCCTGCTTTCAGTGCTAACGCGACCTTTCCCACTGCATTTATTTATCCATAGTTTTGCATGCTGCACACAACTATCCTGGTGTGCAGACCCATGGAGGACCGATGCATCCGGTGGGGAAGTCACCGTTGGAGGCAGAGCAGTTCTGTGACCTCGAAAGGTTCCCTCAGGCTGCCTCTTGCCAGCCATCTCTTTTAACTTGAATGTATCTGGCCCTGGGTTTGCGTTCTTAGCCATAACAGCTCTGCACGGTCAATAACAATCGCAGTAAAGCTAAGGCACGGCTGCCGGTTGCTTCCTTTCCTGGATGCCAGCAGGGGGAGCGGCCCAGGATGAGCCTGCCCTCGATGAGTCTCTTTCTGGTTGTAGAGAGCAAGCCTCACTTGAGCGCTGACACCGTCTTGACTTTCCCCGAGAGGACCCTTCGGCATCCTCACTAGCCCTGGAAAGTCAGTGTTTTAACACCCATTTTACAGCTGGGGAGCTAAGGCTTGGACAGGTGAAAGGCCTGGAGGAACAGGGACTCACATTCCCGCCAGGGTTCCGTACAACTCCATACTAGCTTTGAAACTGAGTCAACTGTTAGTTTGATGGGCTCCATCCTAGAAGGAGAGAGCAGCTCCCAGGCACAGTGGTTTGCTGGGAGGCCTCACGGCTTGCAGGGTACAGTCACACAGTCACAACTCACGTCACGTCAGGGATACAGAGCCAACTCACCAGAGAGGAAAGTCAGGTAGGGAATCCAGGCACCAATTCCCGGGGGAACCACACAGGCACAGTCATGGGTCGAGTCACTACTGTGAAGTACTGTCTAATTGGGACACTCATGAGGGGCGTGGTACCAGGGCTTTAGTGGGGGCGGATCATACAGGTACTGAATTATGAACCAAAGTCTCAGATCCCCAGATGGATGGATAAGTGACCCCCAACGCCCATGTGTTGGAGGCCGCTGGAGTTCTCAGAGTGTTACGGGGTGGTGTAACTGCCCACCCAGGAAGTGGATCCCAGCAAGAGGTCTTTAGGTCACCCGAGGTATGATCTCAGAGGGGACAGTAGGTAGGGTTTTGGTGCCTCCTGTCTTCTGCTTCCTGGCTTGGGTGCTGGGCAGTGTGTTCCACCACACACCCCTGCTGGGCTGAGCTGCTCTTGTCAGGGACTGAAGAGAAATGGGGCTAGGGATGCTGGGCTGGAACTCCCAGAACCAGGAGCCAAAACAAAGTCATTCTGTCATGGTCACTGCAGGTATTTCAAGGTGATGGAACGTCAGTAAGGACCACATTCTGCTGCTCTCCCCAATTCTGGGAGTCCCAGTTCTCAGGAGCCAGTCAAGGGCCAACCTTGCCAGCTGAAGAGTCTGACGTCAGTCTCAGGCCAGCTATCTGAGCTCTATTCTGTGCAGGGAGGGAGCATTCCACCCATCACCTCCCAGCGATGCCCATAACACCAGCAGGACATCTCCTGTTCTCACATTACGCGGGTGTGTCGGCAGGGTACTCAGTGACTATCAGAGGCAGGAAGGACAGTATGGTGGGCAGGGGTTAAGGAAGCCCACTTCAAGTTCTGTCTAGGCTGTGTGTCCAGTGTCACGCTTCAGTTTCAGCTGTGGCTTCTTCAGAACGGACACAGGGGCCCATCCTCCTTGGAGCCTGAGTCAGCTCATGCTGGCTGGCACTGTTCCTATTAGGTCTGTGGCAAGACAGAGGCATTAAAGGGGAAGGGCAGAATGGAAGGAAGCTGTTCACCTGATGGCTGCCGGGAAGCAGAGGGAGGAACAGAGATGGTTCTTGGGACAAGATTTCCCCTAAGGCATGGATGCCCAGTTACTTCCTGTAGTTAGGCCCCATCTCCGGAAGTCTCTGCCACTTCCTCTAGAGCCACAGTCGAGGACTAAACCTGTAATACACAAACCGCCCAGGAACACTTCATACTTGAGCTAGGACGTGCCCACTGCCTGCCCTCCACAGGCTGAAGACCTCTTGCAATCTGCCATGGTGTCTGTCCCAAGGGACACAGCAGCTCATGCTACTCAGAACAGACCTTCCCATTGTGCAGTGTTTGCTCGCAGCCTTCTGCTGACCTCTGGTGACAGGTCCTATCTGGTGGCATCAGAGGCCATGACCCTCAACCCGCAGGATCCCCAGAGCTCAGAGAAACTGCAGTGGCTCAATGCCCTGCAGGCTGGAGCAGCATGGGCAGCGATCTTCAAAGAGCCCGGGACATGGCTGCTCACCTCAGTGTTGTCAAGGCTGCCAGCATCCTGAAAGGAGCAGGGGTTTCCCTCCAATCTACCTGTGCCTGGAATAAAGTGGCTTTTCAGGAGGCCAGTGGCTGCTGGTCAGTCTAGTCTTCTAAATGCATCAGTTCCATCTTTCTGACTCTTCCCGGATCAGTGTTTGCTTCCTTCTCATGCTCGTAGCAGCCTAGGAAATCCAGGCTGGCACAGCTCCATCCATCCCAGGGCTAGACAGCAGGTCACAGGCACTCAGCTGCGTGTGGTCCGTAGGACCACTGGATAGGCAAAACAGTACCAGGGAGACGCAGCTGCCTGGGAGTCCAGGTGCTGCCCATTGTTGCTTGGACTGGTTGTGATCATTGTCTTCTTGGGAAAAGAACAACGCTGCTGCCCTGCACCCTCTGGCATGCGGGGACATAATGACGGTGTCTGTGTCAGCTGCGTGGGTCTTCGCAGATCAAAGGACCTGCATTATTACTGCATGTGGTGATCTGTCTCCCTACCCCTTCCATTAGGTGGGTCCTTGGTGGCTAAAATGAAGGATCATCCTGCATGGCTCAGAGATTTAAGTTAATGGTGCCATGGACAGCAAGAATGGCCAGAGTCGTCCCCCAGGACCCTATCTGCGTGTATTAAGACACACACAAGCAAAGAATTTAATGATCAACGTGCCAAAAAGGCTTGATAATTTATGCTTATAATCACGGTTGGATGGGGAAGGAGCCCCAGCTTAATCCCACCGCCTGCAGCCTGCGACTCAAATCCCCTCCCTCGGCATTCATGAAAGGCTTTGAACATGAGGCCCCTTTCTTTGTCCCTCTCACAAAGTGGCATTCACCGCCTCCTCTGGTTACCTGGTAACACGTACCTAGGGCTTCTAAAGGGAGCAGGAATTCTAACCAAGGTGAATTTTCTAAGATTCAGGAGCCCCATCTCCCAGAGAAACTGCTGGGACCCAAAGCCCTGTAGGCTGGAGACGAATGGCTGGGATCTGCCATGAGCTGGGCAAATGGACCTGGGGCCCAGGGTCAGCTGGGGCCAGCCATGTAGCTTCAAGAAATCCCCCTTTAGTGTGCCTCAGTGTTCCCGTTTATTACAGCAGTGGTTCTCAGTCAGTCGAAACCCCTTGGAGGTCGAACGACCCTTTCACAGGGGTCACCTAAGACCATCGGAAAACAGATATTTACATTATGATTCGTATCAGTGACAAAATTACAGTTATGAAGTAGCAATGAAATGATGTTATGGTTGGCAGTCATCACAACATGAGGTCAGGGTGTTAAGAAGGTTGAAGATCACTGCATCACGGGGTAGGTAAGATTCTTTCCCCTCCCTCCAAGGATTGCAAAAATCAAGGACAATAATGCGTGTAAAAGCAATGTGTAACAATGAAATATTCACACAGAGGTGTCTAATGTGCAAGGTTCCAAGACTGCTCTCAATTTTAGGCAGTGGTTAGCTCTGAGCAAAGGCTTCTGGGAAGGGCAGCATCTAGACCCAAACACTATTTGCCACCAGTGCCCCATGGAGGCATCAGCGAGACACTGGCCTCCGCTGGAAAGGAGCTAATCACTACATATAAGCCCCCCACTCCATTAGAGAGGAGGTACCTGGGTGCTGAAGGAGTCGGGAGGAGCTGAGGAGGAGGGACTGTCACCGACACTGAAGTAAAACTGTCTGTTTCTCTTCAAACAGGTCCCCTGGGGCTTTGTTAAAAGTGCCCTGCTGTGTCTTTTGAATTAAAGATGGCTTTAGGGCAGCCCAGAATGAGGTGCAGCCGGAGTAGGGAAGCTTAGGGGCTTCCTGTGCTCGAGCCCTCGCCTCCCTGAAACACCAGGGCAAGGACCAGGCAGGCCTGTGAAGGTGGAGGTGACAGGGAGACAGCATCAGGTCTCAGGTGGGTGACACAGTCCCGGGGGGGGGGAAGGACAGCAGAGCTCAGGAGTGCTGAGGTCGGTCACTAATGAGGCCCTGGGAAGCGGCTCCCTTTGGCTCTCAGGACCTCTTCATTCTCCAGGCTGCAGCCCAGGGCGGGCCTCTGAGCCCAGAGATCAGAGCCTAGGGGCTGGCACATTTACTTGTCATTTGGTAATTTTCAGTGAATTAGGGGTGTGGGTTTTCCATCTGCCATCTGTCTGTACTCTGGTAACCATAGTAACCACCATCTGCCTGACTTAATATTATCCAGTCCACTTCAGAAAGAGCGCTGGACAAGGGGTTGGGACCTGGGAGGTGGCAGCCTTCGTGGACATCTTGGACCAGTCCCCTGCTTTCTCTGGGTTTGGGTCCCTTCTGCATAAAGCAGTTTGGGCCACATGGCTGGAAGGGGTCTTTCTCCTAGAACAGAGTGCCACTCCGGGGAAAAACCACTCAAGCCCTTTCTTCTGGGAAGCTCTGAGGGCCTGGTCAGCATTTCTTCTGTGTCCTGTGAGTGTCATTAGTGCTACCTGTCTCAGACAAAGGGAACTGCCTGTGAACCAGCTGCTGAGGAGGCAGATTGTAGACAGTGACAGAACTACAGGAAGGAAAGACAGGACTGAGCCGGTGCCTCGGGCAGGCACAAGCTTTCCAAGCAGAGAGGGCATCAACAATGCCACCCTCCCCGGGGAACACCGTGGCTGGACAGGGAAATGACCTGGCTCAATGTCACTGTGGAAGCCAAGAGCTACCCAGGAGTACCCCTCCCCCCACCCCCAGTACCGTCCTCCATTGGCGCCTGGATGAAGAGCCATAGTGACTTTTCTGTGTAACCCAGCCTGCCTCAGCCCCTCGCTGGGTTGCACATCGCCATTGCCCCTGTACAGGGGACTTCCTGCCCCATTTCCAACAACCCAGCAGAATCCTGGATTTGATTCCATGGAGTACTTGCAGGGGGAGGAGAATAACACAATACCAAACACTATTTAAGCCTGGAAAAAAGAGCCACCAGGGGTCTTTCCTGAAGCACTAACTTGGGCATTTGGTTTAGACTTCATCTCCCAGCTCGGGCCAGAAATCTCGAGAAGCCTGAAGCACCGGCTGATGGCAGCATCCTGGGGACAGCTAGTCATCACACTTACCATGCTGGGCGCCCCACTATCCTTTCAGACAGAATGGATGGGTCCTAGACATGTCAAACCCACACACGGGCAAAGAAGGCTAGCCTTTCTGGACACCCATAGACACTGACATTTTGTTTTCTTTTTAAATTACCCAGGACAGTAATCAGTTAGGGCACCAGGGAGGTGTGCAGTGTGGTGCTAAGCTTTTACGTCCTTGGCAACGGAGAGTTTTCTATTCATTTCCGTAAAGCAGGGAACTTCAAATTATGTGCACTTTAGACTGGGTCAGCCTCTATGGTCCCATAACCTTTTCAGAGCCGAAGTTTCCAAGGGTTTCATCCGATGGACGCTCCCTGAGAGCCTTAGTTTGGGTCTCACTGGATACACAGTACCCTGGTGCTCTGTGTTGGTGACTCTTCAATCCCATGTGGGACTCCTGATCTCCGGGAGTCCTCACCTCTCCTTCCTCTCTATTCAAACTGTCCACTTGGCCCAGGACCCCCTCCGATCTATTTTCAAATAACTGCAATAGCAGGTTCTTAAACAGCCATATTCCTGTTTGTTCTAGGGCTGGAATCTCCGCGAAGTGAGTAAGGCAGAAGGGGCAGGGTGTGGACTTCGCCCCTTCCTCCTTCTCTCCCAACATGACATTAAGATGTGAAATACTGCTCCAGGAGGGGAGACTGAGGCCCCGGTGGTGTCCACTTCTGTGCAAGGAAATTCTTTGTCCCACATCTTAGAGCACTGGGGTCCCGCTTTCCCCATCTGCCTGGGCATTTCGGGGTCAAACTCCACTCACCGAACTCGCAGGGGCCATCCCGTGCCTTGTGCAGGTGGCCAGAGTGCATGCGGGGTACGTGCCGAGCACGCAGACGTAGCGCACAGATGCTGGAGTAGGAGCGGCCGTCGGAGCCGCAGACGGTGCCGCGCTGAGCGCACACGCAGAGCCCGGTGCCCTCGGGCGCCGTCCCTGCGGCGCGACTCGCACACACCAGGCCAGGGCCACAGCGAGCGCCCACCCGTCCCCCGCAGCTCGCGCCCTCGGCGCCCAGGCAGCGTGCGCAGCAGCCGCACTCGTCGCGCGCGGCGATCCATGGTGCTGGGCAGGGCGAGGGCACCGGGCAGCGATCCAGCCGGCACGGGCCGCATTCAGGCTGTCGTCTGCCCGCGTCGCGGAGCCCGAGGCCCCGGGTCAGTGACAGCAGGAGCAGCAGCAGCGGCAAACGCGGCATGGCCGGCTCCCGGACGGACGGCAGCAGCGCCTCTGCTCCGCTTAGCGCTCGGCGCTTGCAAAGCTGCCGCGCCCGCCCCGCGCCCGCTGATTGGTGGGGCCTGCACCGCGGGGCGCCCCTCGGCCCGGGACCAGCCCAGCGCAGCCCTACCCGTAAGCCCAGCTGCAGAGAAGTCTCCAGAACAGCTCTGCCGCCTCCGATTGAGCTCCGGGGTGGTGGGTGGGGGAACACCCAGCCCGGTCCAAACGACAACTTGTCTGCCAGTCCCAAATACTATGACTCTCAATCATCCCACCAAGATGCCCTATTTTATTTTGCCATCTTTCCAGTTTTGTTTGGTAAATTGACTCTAGTTTAAGATGTCAGAGTTTACAAATGGATGGTTAGATTTCCCTCTTGTCTCGAATCCCAGTTCCCTAGCCCTGCTCCCAGAGGCCGCTCTGGCTATTGGGTTTGGCTGTGTTTTTAGGAATTTTCTCTGCTCCTGAAAGCGTGGGTGAGCTCATAACCCAGCCACCCAGTGACTTTGAACTTGGGGTTTTCTGCCTACAGAATGCCAGGTTTCCCGCCTTTTATCATCTCTGAAATCCAGGCTCTCGTCCAAACAATGGGGGCACAGGTGAAAAAGGTGTGTTCTCAGGGGTGTTTCTTAGGGGTTGACAGGGGCCTTGTGGTGACCAGACACAGAGATGTATTGTGGACTTCGTGTGGATCAGTCTTGATGTTAACACTTTACGCAGTATTTAGATGTTCAAACGCAAATTTTTAACAGCTTGTGTTCTGTCCTTTGGCTACAGAGAGTGTTGGGATGGGGTCCTGGGGAACGAGTATCAGTGCGCCTATGGCCTAGCTGGTAAAGCATGTTGAAAGTCAGCTTCTTGCTGTGGGTTATTCACACAGGCTCCCAGCCAGGCTCTGAGCGCCTCATCCCTGACAAAGGGGCCTGTCACGGATGCTAAGAGGTGATGTGTGGCTAGCGGAGTACACCCAAGGGAGAGAGAACTTACCAACCAGGCTCCCCAGGAACCATCACCTACTTCTCCGAGTTCGCTCTCTTGTATACTGTTGGCTTACTCTAGAGACAGAGAAAGCCTCTCGGTGCCCGGGACGAAATGCTGCAGATCTCCTGAGTTGCATACATTTTCCTTTCTTAGTCCAGTTCCTGCCCAGCTTGCAGTCTTCTGGGCCAGGTCCTTATCCCCGAAAGAAGCCCCTGGGAGGCCACTTTATGTGTCGAGCAGAGCAGAACAATAAGGCCAGGTCACTCTAGCTCTTACCTTACAAGGGGCTCAGAGCAGAGTGCCTTGGGGGAGGGGAGGAATAAAGAGGAGACTGCCAGGAAAGCTCTCAGCACAGGGTCAGTACTAAGGTTCTGGTCCACCCAGAGACTGGGCTTCACCTGAAATGGCCTTTTAACCCGTCCATATCCCTTGACCCCCTAATCCTGTCTGTGACTGCTTCCTAAGAAAACAATTGATCCGTTTGAAGATTTCATCCCAGAGTCGACCGCTGCATCCAAAAATTGGAAACAATCTAATTGCCCACGGGCAGGCAATGATTAAGTAAATTATGGTCCATCTGACAATAGAGGACTAAAAAAAAAATGAGCAAGATGTAGGCTCATGGAAATGCAAATGTTTATAATGTATTGCTTGGTATGCTGATCATTATAAAATGCATGTCTGCCTAATGGCATATATACATGTGAGTGTTGACACAGAGAGAGAGAGAGAGAGAGAGAGAGAGAGAGAGAGAGAGAGAGAGAGAGAGAGAGAGAGAGAGAGAGAGAGAGAGGTTGTTTAATGCTGTGAGGGAAACAATGTTCATGAACAAAGCAGGTTTGGAAGCGATAAACGGTTCCCTGCCTTACAGGACAATCTTCCATCTTCCGGTAACACCATGCTTTCCAAAGGCTCTTCATTGTCCAAGCAGAGGGTAGTCTGCTCCAGAATGAGTGGGTGCCCCATCGGTGGAAGAGCTCAAGGGTGAGTCTTAAGGAGCATCACTGAAGGAATCAAAGCATTAGTGGAAGAGGTGATCTGAAAACCCTTCAAAACGAACCATCACGAGGTCCAAAGCCCGACTCTGAGACCGGGGGAGCCAGGGGGAGCCAGACACGGCAAATGTATACAGAACAGAATTTGTCTGCTTTTTATGCAGACGCCGAGGGAGCAGGCACTGGACGATGTCACTATGAAATTCATGTGTGCTTGCTTAATGCGGGTTGGGATATACAATCCCACAGAGGCGCATTTACATACGATCTACATTCCTTTTAAATGGTAGGGAAAGCATTATGTATGCATAATGACCCTGAGAATTAAAGCAAAGGATTCATTTTCCAGCCCTGAGCCTGGGGCATCAAAGTGTGAGTGTGTCTGGGTGGGGAAAACACACCAGGCTTTGAAAATGATCTGCTCTGTCTCTTTTTAGAATTGCCCCAAGTCCGTCACAGCGCACAGTATGCTTCTCAGGGGACCCACTAACACCATGGGCCCCAGATGAGGCCCCCATAGGATTATGGCATACGGTGGGGGTGAACTCTCCAGATAGGGACAGGAACTGGGGTAGGTGGTGAGACCCCCAGGCACCCGGTAGTGACTAAACAGCGCGAATGGATGGGACTTTCTGCTGCACACAGGGCCTGGGCACCAGCACAAGGGGAGGCCAGTTAGTGGCCACAGTGGATGCATGCACATTTGTTCATTCCTCCCATAGAGATGAATAGCAGGTGCCCCTGTCCCAGGGGAGTTCAAGCAAGGGAGGTCTTTCAGCAGCAGCCCCCCTCAGGTCCGTCCTGAAGGCCTCTCTGTGTTTTCAGACCCCGAGTGGGCCCCTCCAGAGCAGGAATGATGTGGGGGGTCTTAGGAGGCGTGATTGGCCTCGATGATGTATGCAGTGAGCACAGCAACATGCAGACTTCGGCAAAGACTGGCATTCAGATGCCGAGCAGCTGACAAAGGAACCACGGGGGGGGCCGGGGGGCTCTTCCTGCTGGAAAGTCGGATAAAACAAGAGACAGGCCCTGGACAGGGCCGCATGAGGGCAAGGAGACCCACAGTTTTCTCCCTGGGCATCTTTTCCAGGCCACAGTGCAGAGAGGTGGGCCAAGCAGCCCAAGAGGTCTGTCTGGATGGAAGAGGTCAGGGTTTAGAGTTGAGGCAGCAGGGCTTTAGGAGAGCAGGGGCGTAAACGAGGGGGGAGCTGCGTAGAGGGAACCCCAGAATTCTTAGCCCTTTGGCTGACTCTCCACAGTACCAACGCAGAGCAGCCTGGCACAGAGCGGCTGCTGGGGCCGGGAGCTGAGCAGAGATCTTCGGGCTCCCCCTGCACTGATGGGAGGCCAGAGTCCAGTCCTGGCCAGAGCACACTGCCCCAGCCTCACGGTGTCCCTTCTGCAAGGTCAGGGACACTTTCATCAGCTGAGCAGCATGACCCTGCAGAGGAGCGGCGGTCAGCACCAAGGGCCTCCTCCTCTGGGATCTTAAGTTGAAACTATTCCAGTCTTCCTTTGTTCTAGCCCTGAGGATGGCAGCTGCTTCCTTCGACTTACCTAGCTAACGATTTCTTCCACTAAATTCTGTCTGTTATATGATATATTAATGCGGACCGGAAGTGGTCCCAGGAAACAACCCTCAAAGATGGGCCACAGTCAAGCAGCCAGACAGCCTCACTAGAAATAAGCTCCAATAATCACTTAAATTATTTATGAAAATAGCAAGTAAGAAATGTATTTCTTAGCTGCAGGGTCAGTATTGCTGAAAACGGCTGATGCAGTTGAATTGTGCGGGCTGCATAATCACAACCCAAGCTGAATCCACAGCCTTGCCAATGTCCTGTGCCAAAGTCGGGACATCGCTTTGGAAACGGGGAGCGCCTGAGACTTAAAATAGGGATATCAGCGTGGACTCTGAAGAAGCAGAAGTCTCCCCTGCTAGAGGAAGCGTGTCTGGCCCGTCTTTACTGAGTACCTTGCATTAAGGTCCCATTGGTAGTTGCCTGACAAGGATGCTTTGCTCCCGGAGACTTTACTCCCTTGGCTCCCAGAGTCTCAACAGGCACAAGCCGTGTGAGCAGGGCAAGGATAACATTGGGAATACGGAGTCACATGTGTTGACCCAGATGCCCTGACCAGAGATTCTGGACTCGGGGTTGGACTGAGGTAGCAGGAGGCGGCACTGCAGTTTACTTACCAGCTAGGACTTAGCGATGCGATGCCCTCTGCCTGCTAATACGGAGGTGCCAGAGCTCCCTTAGTGTGTTGCAGAGGAAGGAATAACAAGGCTTAGGGGGAGGTTGGAACAGATCTGTCGTAAACAACCTGCATGCCTGCCCACACACTCAGTTCCCCATTGGGCTCAGAGGACATTCCTGTCATTGTGACACTGGGACAGTCACTCCTGAATGAGCCCAAAGGAATCTAAGGCAGCATATTACAGAGACACCTGCAGTGGTTATTACAGCACTAGTCACAACAGTCAAGCTATGGAATCATTAGCCTAGGTGCCCAGCAACACACACATAACGGGGTTTCATTTAGCCATAAAGAGGGATAAAATTATGTCATTTGTAGGACAACAGATGGAACTGGAAAGTCCCGCATTAAGGGGAATGAGCCAGACTCAGACAAATAACACATGCTTTCTCTTATCTGTGGCTAGTGTGTGTGTGTGTGTGTGTGCGTGACATAAAAGTATAAACTAGACTTTGGGGGAAGGGAGAGGAGAAAGGGGACTATAGGAGGGAGAATATGGTCAAAATATATAATATACTTGAATAAAAATGTCTTTATGAAAGCCCATCACTGTGAACAATGGCTATACACACCAATAAAATAAAATAAAATACTCGAAGCCAGGGGAGGGGTGGGGCTGGAGAGACAGCTCAGAGGTTAAGAGCACTAACTGGTCTTCCAGAGGTCCTGAGTTTAATTTCCAGACACCACATTATGGCTGACAACCATCTGTAATGAGATCTGGTGCCCTCTTCTGGCCTGCAGGGACACATACATATAACAA